ACAAACACACAAACAGTAGAGCTTCAACTAAAGTTTGAGCCTGTCCTCGACTTCAATCCCAAGCAAATGTGTTTAAAAACTAAAAATGCAGCATCATGCAAGGAGGAAGTTCTCAAGGTTAGACACACCTGATGTTATTTACAGATAGAAGACTACAGCCCTTCTTTAGCTTGAGCAGAGACATGCAAGGTTACATTTTCAATCAATCAATTCAGTTTGATCCTCTTTCGGAATAAACAATTTGGTATACCAGGGTATATGCAGGAATCCTGAAGTCAAATGGAAGACCTTTTAAGACCCTTTCCATAGATTTTAAGACCTCATCGCCACTTGGAGTTTTAACCGGTTACCTTGGCGACACACTTTACCTCACATTGACTATATACAGTATTGATTGTCCTTCCTCCTTATCTTCAGTCAACTCGGCAACGTTCAGACTTGCATTTCCCCATAACGATGTTGTTTAACAACCGGCATAAACTGAGCTTAGCGCGCTATCAAGCAGGGAGCGTGCGATGTCCTGTTCAGATGACGTCAAACCCAACGGGATGCCATAAATAAACTACACAGAATCACATTACACACCTACGCAATGATTACATTCAGGCACACTTTAGAATACAACCTCTTTGGACAATTTATATACTTATTGAAAACAAGCTACAAAATGTAATACCTTGGAAAATGCCGTTTAATACTTTTTAATAGTCTTAATTTTCGCTAAATTGATTTATCAACTTGTAATACTTGTTAAGACCCCGCGGACACCCTGAGCACCATTATCTGTATTGTGAGTGTATCTACGCTAGCTTGCAGTGACATGTGGCTCCTGCAGGGTGTGCAATGCCACCAAACAAACTCTAAACACCAGGCTTTGTTTTTTTTTTAACTAAATGTGTTCCTCACGCACCACACTGAAGGTCCTCTGGTCCAGCTCCTCAGACTCCTCAGACACCGGCACGGTTTCTCCCCCCGCTGTTATATGGACCGGCACATCACCGGGTTTCTTAGTCTTCACCTCGTTCTGGTGAAGAGGGATTGGAGAGTTAATTCCCAAACAAAACATTGAACTCAAAGCCTTCATCTTGATTTAATAAACAGGTCGAATATAGTAACGGAAAGTATCACAAACTATTTTTTCACCTTGTCCAGGTTGTCCTCTTTGTACACCGCCTCCAGAGGCTTCGTCTCCTTTTTCTCTTTTGGCTCCTTGGTTTCTTTAAAGTCCCAACTGTCGTCCTTCTTCTCCTTTTTGCTTTCTTTTTTGATCTCCATTTCCCCCGACGACGATACTTCCTCCTGCTCAGGCTCCTCGTCTTCATCCTCCTCGTCTTCCTCCTCGTCCTCGTCCTCCTTCGGCACCACCCGGTCTGCTCGGCCCCGTCTGCTCTGAGCCTTCACCGGTGTCACCTCCTGAAGGGGGTTAAAAGTGTTACACATGGAAGCAGTGGGTGTTTCTCAATGTCGAGGACGCTTCCTTGGTAGGACCATGGATGTATAATAAGAACTGGACTGGATACGTTCAGTCCTATGAGAGTTGCTCATTGGCACATGAAGACAAAATGGCCCAACTTTTGAGAGAGCGAAACGTCACGAAAGTATTCATATAATCCGTTCTTATTGTGCGTCCATGGGTAAAGGTAAAACTCATGTTGTACTGAACACGTCACATGAACATGCCGGGCGGCGCGGCCTCGTGGGTTAGATGCGCGTTCATAATGCAGAGGAAAATAACTCTCAGAATAACGTTATTAGAATATTTTACAACTTGGGCTATACAAACGTTCATACTGGGTAGTTTATTTAGTTTAAAAAAAATTATCCAACGATTTACAGACGTCTCTTTCCCAATGTAAGTCAATGGGAAAAAGTATTTCCGGGCCCAGCAACTGATACGGAAGTTGTAGTACCGCCGTTTGGCCACAGCGAATATTTTCCTCAGAGTCTGGTGCACTTGCTGGGGGCTTGATTTGCAGCCTCGAAATTTCCCGAAACGAAGGACGCCGGCCTCGGTAGAATTCCAAGCATCCTGGACATTGGAACAGTCCTTCGGCGGGACTCGATGACGTAGCATCCATGAAATAGTGGCTCTGGAGGAGCCTTCCTCGACATTGAGAAACACCCAGTTATTTCACACTGCAGCGAGCAGTGCGAGAAGTCTCTAAATACTCGGGATTGGAAAGATAAATCGAATATTCTAAATTATTCAGGTATTCCAATGAGTTATGAATATATATTTTTTATGGGAGGGTTGCCTAAATTGATTACATAGAATCGGAGGGATGAAACCATCTTTATTATCACACATGCAGACCACACAGTGACATTTGTTCTCTGCTTTTAACCCATCCTAGTGCCATGAGTCTAGTACTAGGAGCCACTAGTGGGCAGCTATTGTACATCGCAATGGGAGTGGGTTGTACGGTGCCTTGCTCAAGGGCACCACGACAGGGCAGGAGGTGAACTGGGACCTCTCCAAGCAGCAGTCCGCACTCCATATTTTAGGTCTGGTCGGGGACTTGAACCGGCGACCCTACAGCTCACAGTCGAAGCCGTTACTGACTGAGCCACTACCTGACATTATCAAATGGATTAATTAAATGTATACGACAGTGCCATTTTAAATATATTTATTTATTATATATATAACTTTTTTTGTATATGTAAATTCGGATAACCGTTTTTTTTTGGGGATCGAATATTCGAATATAAATCTGCTTTCAAATTCCCATCCCTACTAAATACCTTTTCCTCCTCGATCTCGTCCTCGTCGTCCGACCTCTTGTCCGATGGGGGGTCCGAGGACGTGCTCTTCAGCACCTCTTCGGTCTTAATTGGCTTCTGAGTTTTGCTCTTCTTATTTCTCGGTTTCCTCTTCCGTGAATTGGCCTAAACGACACAAAGGAGCGTGGAGAATTAGAGTAGAAATACATTTGAATAACTGATGAGACGATGTCAAATAAATCAGCAGATACAGATGTTTAGACTAACAATTTAGCAGATGTCTTTTAAATATTTGTAACTGTAATGCTTGACAACACTGCTGCTGGGACAAAATAAATTGCCAGTTTGGGATCAATAAAGTACCAAAGTACCTAAGTATCTATCTATCGTGTATCATTAGCCGCTTTCACACCAAGTACTTTGCCGTACTTAGTTCCCAGCACTTAGTACCCCCATTGAACTAAAGTGCAGATCGCGTTCACACCGGAATAAGTTCCCTGAGGGAAGACTAGGAAAAAGAAGCCGCTGACGTCACTTCTTCTTCTGCTTTGGGTTTACTGGCAGGCCGCAAACAACTTCACGGCGTATGCTGCCACCCGAAGTCCCCGGCCGGACGTCCCCGGAGTTGGGGACTGGCTTCAGTAGAAGCTGCTGGGACTCCCAGCAGCTTCTACTGAAGCCTTCCGAGTAAATCGCCAGAACGCCGACACCTCCTCATCTCCACCACTCCCATGTTTTTTTTGTTGTGTTGCCATAAGTTAGTCTCTCTGCGTTGGTGTGCGGGGCTAATGCTAATAATGCTAATGCCAGCAAATACAATGGCAGCTTCAAAAAACTTTTCAGAGTTTTACGGGGCGTGGTTTGCAATTCGCCCAGCCAATCAGAGATTGGAACTTTTTTCTCCCCAGGAAAGTACCACCTCTCTAGCAGGGACTGAAAAGGGGGGAAAGTTCTCATGAACTAAGTTCTCTTTTTGGTGTGAACGCAAAATCCCAGGACCTATCAGAACTAAACGGGAGAAGTACTCCGGTGTGAAAGCGCCTATTGAGGAGATTTGTAGTTCCAACATTCAGTGGTTGTGTTTGACTGCTATTGTCCGTTATAATCTATTATTACCCTTCAGTTTCTGTTTATAATTCAAGGATATTTAATAGCATTACATTTCCATTCATTCAAATAAACCATGTTTGTTATATGCATGTAAAAAAGGACATGAGTAACCATCAGAAGAACAGAGGAGGACTTACTGTCCCGGCTTGCTTCTGTGCTTCTTTCTTGGCCAGGTCCTTGCTGAGCAATTTGATGAGGTAGTCTGCTCTGGTCTGCAGCTGCTTTGCTTGTGGCTTCTTGTCAGGGTCGTCAGGTAGGAGCTGAACGCATGGACACAGAAAACACTTTCAGGAATAGCTACACACACAGAAAACACTTTCAGGAATAGCTACACACACAGAAAACACTTTCAGGAATAGCTACACACACACACAGAAAACACTTTCAGGAATAGCTACACACACAGAACACACACACAGACATGCCCAGATAAACATGGGATTATTAGAGTACAAATATGAAATATAGAGAACAAAAACAAGACAGATTGGACATACATTATGCCTGAGCTCACCTTGTGTGTGAGGTTAAGGTCCGGATCCATCTTAATCATCTCCCAGCTGCCGTAACCGTACTCGTAGATTCCTATCAGGAGACTGGAGTCGTCCTCCTTCCCCCAATCAATGTCAAAGTGTGCTGCCTTCGAATGGCATGGAATCATATACCTATACAAACAATCACAATTAAAAGACATTTATATATTTGGTCAGGTCCTATGTGGTTGTGTACAGAACAAATATGTGAGCCATGAACTTATTGTACATTACACAGACCAATCAAAAAGGCTGTGAGAGATATCATGTGGTGTGTTCACTTACTTCTTCCTCTCCTCAGGGTCATCAGGAATGGCCTTATGAAGCGGAGAGAGCTCTTCCTCATGCGAGATGACGAGCTTTGCATTCACCTGGACTCCAGAGATCCTGAATGTCGGGCCCTTTACCTTCCCTCTCCTGCCTCCTGTCATCAAACGAGTGGAAAACAACATTTAGTTTCATTCAATCATGTGAAAGACGGCAAATTGAAACCCTGTAATGTGATTAGATGACGATAAAATGGATTTAGCTAAAAGCAAAGTAAACATTTTATAGGGTTAGGAAAACTCCCTGTTTTTTGACACAAATAACGTTGGATGCTTCGTGCCATTGAACAAACTTCTGCCCGATGGAAATGGGATGTCAACCTAAAGTACCTACCTACTTAGTACTAGGCATTAACTAGTACTGGGGGGAGAGAACCAGGCGGCAGCACCTTTCTATTTTTGAACACAAATAACACTTCGTGCCATTGGACAAACTCAACGTAATCGAAATAAAACGATTATTTTTTTCTCCAATAAATTGATGTTTTCAAAGTAAATGGATAATCGTTTTTAATAATCGTGATATCATTTATTGACCCAGTGGAATATATTTTACCAAAATTTTGGCTATATGTTGAGGAGTTTTCAGGTTGTGACAGTGCACTGCAACATGTCTGTTGATCTTGTTTATTGGTATTTATTATTTTGATATTATTTATTTAAATGTAGACATGAATGTATAATTAAGCAATAGCTCACGACAGGCCGTGGTATATGCTCATTATATCACAGCTAAGGGGCGTGGTTCGGCCCGACACACTATAATTTAAATAGTTTTTATTCGTAAATAATGATGATCAAAATAAAATAGTCCCTCCGTTGCCTTCTGCACAAAACATAGTGCGAGGTGGTTGCTATGCAACAACACTAACAGCTATCGAACATATTAGACAGAGAGCGTTGATCCATTATTTGGTTGTTTATTTACATTAATGTGTATGTTGCTGTTTATTGTGCAGCCACTGAAAAACTGTCCAGCATCAGTAGCATGGCTTACGTGGTCACTTGTATAGGTTGAGGTTGTTCTAGGCTGTTGCTTGGCGTGGCGAGAATATTGCTCCACTTTCTCCGGTCCCAGAGATTGGGCTTCCAGTAGCTCTGGAGAGAGCTTTCTCAGCCTGTGGCCACTAACGGTCATAATTTCTCTGCTTTGTTTCAAGACCCGCATCAGAAAGCTTTTGAATGGTGCTACTTTTCCAGTTGGTCTACCTGCTCTTCACGTAGCTCTGCATGTCGTCGTTTAGGTGCTTTCTTGAGATAGGCACTGCTCAATCCACTCCTCCATAGTAAGACCCCCCCGGAGGTCGAAGTTAATCTTAAATGTTTCCATCTTAGGCTTTGTAATTTTGTTTCGTAACTGAAGAAATGCAAATATATTTATAAAACTGACAAGTCAAATCAAGCAATCTGATTGGTCGATAGTGTTTTTGCGGACCTCTTTGATTACAGATTTGAAAACATCGTTGCTTGCTTTAAAAGTAGCACAATTCATTATGTCAAACCTTGGAAAGTGTCTAGATATCCCTGCCCTAATGCCAAAGGAACTGCACACTGAATATGTTTTGCCGTTTGATGTCTATGTCTGGACCGCGGCGTAAAAAGGAGGGTTTCTGCCCCGTTACTTCTCCGCTGCTTTCTTGTTCCAGTATGAAAAGCAAACTGCAGGCAGTTTGCTTTTCAGCCCATCGGTATACTGTTTTTCGTAGACGCGGAGGGATACTGACTTGTTGTGAAAAGTAACTTACAATTCTACCCATGGTATACGCTCAGTATATCACGGCTAAGAACCAATCAGATTGCTTGATTTGACTTGTCCGTTTTATAATTTATTTTATATTGGTTTTTCAGTTGATTACCCTGAATGTATAATTCAACAGTTAAAAAGTTCAAATTATTATTTGTATTTGTTTTAAAGTACAATAAATGGATGTTTTCAAAGTCAATGAATAATCGCAATTACAATTATTGACTCAAATAATCGAGATTATGATTTTTGCCATAATCGAGCAGCCCTAATTCAGTGTCCTTTTTTTAACAGAAGACCGTAGCTAGAAGCTCCAGCTAGACTGCAGAAGCATTAGTTTTTTGTTTTTGAGGATGGAACAATTTCACACACAGATACTGTATAGGGATGCTAGAACTATACCATTGAATTACTTTGGTTTATAAATTAATGTCAAGACATTTATGTTATTGATTCCTGACGCACTTTCTAAATAATAAAAAGAGAGTTCATATGTATTTACTGCATGTATTCATTGATGAAAAAGAAGCCATGTGCAGTAATATAGAAAATTGAATATCGAATCGAAGACAGGATAATCGTAATTGAATCGTGAGACCAGTGAAGATGCACAGCCCTACATAATGCACATCACTAACATAACAAAATGTGGGCAGATGAGATCCTGAATAAGTCCGGTTACCTGAACTCTTCTCTGGTCCAGAGGGGTTTTCTCGAAGAGTTCTCACACAGCCGTTGTGAACCGTCTCTGCCAAACGCTTCAGGTCGCTTTCGGACTTATCCACGAGTTCAGCATCACGAGCGATAGCATCCAACCTGAGTGACCGAGACAAGTGTTTAGGAGACGGCTAATTAACGTTGAAAACAATTTTTAAAAAAATCTGATTTTGCTCACCTTTCCAGCGGTCCTCCGAATTTCTTGTAACTCTTGACGAACCTGTAAGCAGTTCAGAGGTGTTACAAGGAATATGCAGAGAAGAAGATAAAAAGCCAGAGAGAGGTTGCTAATATATATGTTAGTAATTTAGTTTTTGGGAGAAGGTGTGGGATTAAATAAGTGTAAACTTCTTCCCACCCCTTTTCGGATGTGTAATCAGGTAGATCATTTGTTTATACATAATGTTGGAGCCAAAATGCTTGTTTTGCTATTGTTATTATTTCTATTTTTATCTTCATTTCTGTTTGCATCACGTTTAATTCTTGTTTTTTATCACTTACGGAGGTTGTCACGTGGGTGTGGCTTATTGGTATTTACAGTAAGACACCTGTTGAATGCCAGCTTGGGGATATGACGTAGAGCAGAGGGTGAATAGCTATGATACTTTCTGTTGACCGTGTGGTCTGGAGTTGCATATAGAGAGCCAAAGTGACGCGTCCTAAAACCCGGAAGTAAACTCCTTCCGGTTCCTTTGACAAAAAAGCAATGCAATTTCTCCATAGGATTTTGGAAAATAGCTGGAAATAAGGTCTGTGGTTGAGACACATTGAAGAGACGGATCACGTTTTGTTCAGCCGGATAATATCCACATGTCTACCCTACTTTTATAATTTTCTAATCATAAATCTAGTCACCAGAAGCAAAATGCTAACGTTATGCTCTAAAGGAACTACAGCCGGGTCGCTGCTTCAACGTCACGCCAACTTCAGATCCATATTCAAACATTCAGATTCTAAATGGTACAAGTTGAAGAGTTTGTTTGAACAGTTTGCAGGAGGCAGGTACTTGCTTGAAAGCAGAACAGGGGGGCAAACAAACTTAGAGGAGTGTTTACGTGTTCGGTGTAATGACGTACAGCGGCCTTGACAACTTCTGTAGTCCTATTCAGCCACTTGGTAACAACCATCGTTTTTCAGACACGGAAACTCTTCAGAAATCACCAGTGGGGTCACTGCTGATGTGTTTAATGTCGTAGAACAAAACGTGATCCGTCTCTTCAATGTGTCTCAACCACAGACCTTATTTCCAGATATTTTTGTCGAGGGAACCGGAAGTGGTAAACTGCTAACTTACTTCCGGTTTTAGGACGCGTCACTGTGGCACTCTATTGTTTGTTTCCGTCTTTATCAAACACCGTGGACTATAAATGACTACGGACTCTTATACGGAACGCGTCACAGCGAAGAGCAAATGTTAGCCTCTTAACGGCATAACCCATAGGGAGTTTTTGCCGCTACATATCATTTGTAAGTCAATAATATTTTTGTTTATCAATTTGATACTACTTAAGTTTGTACAGTATCATAATTCTCATGTTTCATTTTATTATTTTTTTGTATTATTCTTTAACATGTTCGAAAGACATCAAAAAATCAAACCTCCGGATCTCAGCGTCACTGAAGCCCTTGATGTTTTCTCGTGGAATAGTCCGAGGCCGCCCCCTCTTCTTTGGCCTCTTCCGGTCCGACGGGGAGTCGCTTTCGGAACCCGAGTACCGTCTGTTCCTGCTCTGCCGACCCGAACTGGCGCTAAATTTCGACTGTTAGAGGAAATTAAACAAATGACAAGGAATTGGTACAAACATAATAACTGATTGGACCTAAAAATTGAAGAATTTAGGGACATTTCAGAATCAGAATACTTTTTATTCGTCCCACAGAGGGGACATGTACATTTGTTACAGCAGAAAAGAGCCAAAGACATTACATTTAGCTGACGCTTTTATCCAAAGCGACTCACAATAAGTGCGTTCGACCAACAAGATACAAACTTGAAGAAAACAGAATCATATATAGGCGTGTCATTAAAAAAGATCCGATGGCGCTGAATAAGACGGCTTGTTTTTCTCAAGGAAGTACCACGCCGGTGGGGAGAAAAAGTGGGGTTCGTGGTCTCATAAAGAAGGCAATGATTTAAAGAAAAATATAGTTGTCATAGTGGGACATCGGGAAGATGGAACTTGAAGTAGAAGCCATCGGGGGGGGTGTTATAATCAAAAAATAGAGCTAAAATAGGAAAAAAGTGGAGTGGAAGTAGGATAATGAAGAAGTAAGAAAGTAATAAAACAACAATAAAATGGGGGTCAAAAAGTTTAAAGGGAACAAAAGTATAATTTTTATTTCTGTGTTGGTAGATACAAAGGTGTCCTTTTCGACAGCCCCGGTCGTGAAAACAAACCAATAGAAGAAAAATTGTTGGTAGATTTCAATTGTAAGTCAGACATCCAAAACGAATAGGACCCGGAGTTTTCTTAACCATTACCTTACCGCTAAGGGGCGCTTATTGCGCGTGCGGTCGGTGATCGAAGTGGGGAGAAGGTCGCGTCGGACTTTTGAGTAGAGAAAGGCTGAGGTTGGAGAACTCGTTATCTTAATGATTGTTGTCGTGAATAATGATTATTGTGTTCCCGACCGAATAGATTTCGGTCAACTCATCGTGACTTTTACAAACCGAGATACTTTGGACTTACATGAATAG